CACATCACTTTCATCCCCTCTCTCGGGATTTGAGCTTAATATTCCATTTCTAAATATTAGTTTAGCATTTTAGTAGTTTTAGAATAATTTCTGGAGGAATTCTACTCCCGGTCTATTCTGTTCCGCCTTTACGGAAGTTGTAAGTTTACTCTATTTAATAAAATGCTGTTTTAATTCATGTTTGCATAGTATGAGTTAGGGTCCGGATCTCTGGGTCCGGACTAATTTGGTTGTTTATTTTTGATGTTAAATTAATGTTTGAATGGTTAATCTGTTGTTCTTGCCTTATCTGGTTAATTACTCTCGAAAGATTTAATTGGCCATTTATTGAGAAAATATTGTATGCCAAAAGGCTATGATATTCAACTGTCAACGGATTAAGTACAAATCTAGAAATGGATGAGTAGTAATAGAAATATTATTATTCCAATTGCTAATTTAATATGATAAAATAAATTCAAATGACGTCTAGACCCTAGGTCCAGATCTATACTTATACTATGTAAACTTAATTTATTTATTATTTTTACTCTGCCTTTTTTATAGTCGTTCCGAGAAGACTTTCATAAACCAATCCTAATCTTCGCCTAATTAGAGTAATTAAACTAATTCCCTTCGTCCACTCCTCGAGAGATACGACACTCGGAGAGAAAACTAACCCTTTGTTGGGAAGGTTTACTACCCGAAAAACTACAATTGTCATAAGGGATTTGTATTCTTGGTGTTGGGATTACACCAAGTGGTAGAAATCCTAACGGTTTATGAAATCAAACGTTAGGTGGAAGAAATCCTAAGTTTTGTGAAATCAAAAACTTCGGTGGTAAGATAAGAGGCTTGTGAAATCAAGTTCTCGAGTTGTATTCGGATTGTCAAACTCCGTTAAGTTTGACGGGTTAGTGAAGGCCTGGGCACGATTGCTTCGGGGACTGGATGTAGGCATTTAAGCCGAACCAGTATATATCGCGTGTGCATTGCTCTTATCCTTCACTTTACTTTGTTTGTGGTGCATTGATTTTATTGAATATTCGTGAAGAACGTTTCCGCGCAAAAAAACTGGTCTTTTGGGCAACACCTCTATTCACCCCCCCTCTAGAGGTGTGCGAGGCGTCTAACATCGTGTACCGTGAGGAGGGCGATGCTGCACCAAATCTGGACCTGATAGTCGCAGACGAAGAAGAGAGCCAAAACGAGACTGAAGCTGAGTCATCTCGTGCCGGAGGAAGTCGAGCCACGGAGCGCGTCACTCGTCAACGCAGGACTCGTCCAAGAGAAGAAGCACCAGCCACCAGAACCTTCTTTGGTGAAGAGGATCTTCGATACTCTCACGTGTATCTGAGATGACGTTTGCCAGCTCAACGAGAGGATGACTCGTTTTGAAGCAATCCCGCTCCTACCGTGGCCCGCGTCACAGCTTTAGCGGAGGAGCTCGTCCGGCGAACTCTCTTTGATTATATTCCTTCTATCTTGACTTATTATGATACTTTGTTATTTGCTATTGTTATTGTTATGACTCTTTTGATGAATGATTATGTTGCTAATTATGTATTTGTATGTTTGGCAATGTAGTTCTCTTTTAGAACATATTGTCCCTTTGCGGCATTCCTGTTAGAAGTTTTTTATTAGAAAATTTCTTGCAAATTTATCCTTCAATATCTCGGCATTGATTAAGGGGGAAGGTTATCGGTTGATAATGCCAAAAGGGGGAAGGAAGAATAGTTGAGAAAAACTTTTTCTTAAAAATGTTTTTGGAAGGATAGTTGAGAAATTTTTTTTCTTAAAAACGGTTTTCCGCTTTTTACTCCGATATTTTTCACTTCTCTAACCTTGCAGGGGGAATTATTCTTAAAAGGAAGTAACTTTTGAACTCTTACTTTGCTCTTTCTCAACTATGTTTGTCATTATCAAAAAGGGAGACATTGTTGGACATGAGTTCAAACCCCTTTACTATTTCTTCTCGAATATTTTTTTTGTTTTGAGGAATGACAAACAGGATGATTAAATTCAAGCTGATCGAAAATTTATTTTCGTATCGAGAAAAGCAAAGAGGCGTATCAAGATAAAATCAAGGCTTACCCCTACGCAGAAATTTTTTGAAGTGAAGTGAAGATTCCGAAGACCTTTTATTTTTTATTGAGTCTAGGAATTTTGTAAGGATGACAATACTTTTTGCATAAACAAATTAATTTTGAGGGATAAAAATTATTATTTTCTGAGTCAGTTGAAAAATTATTTTTTCTTTGTCTAAAAATATTTTACTGAGTCAGTTTCAAAATAGTGTGTCAAAATTTGTTAAAAATATTTTTTTAGGATACACAATTTTCTTTTGGTAAGAAAAATATACTTTAAATATTTTTCGTATACATCGTTTGACACACAAAATAATTTTTGGACTCACTTTTTCTCCCCTATTCAAAATTCATTGAATAAGGGATACTTTCTCTTGATGAGCGTTCTTGTCTCAAACAAACGAGTATAAGCCAATTCACTTCTTATCGCAACTGGCTTGGGCCCTTTGTGTTGCGCATTATCTCCTCCATAATCGATTATCTACCTTCATATAATCGATTAATAGGCTTTTCGTTGGATTCCCCTGGTCTGACAAATAATCGATTTTTTTCTTCAATTAATCGATTAGTTCGGACAGAGCCGACTAATCGATTTTTAGGCCTTCCTTTAATCGATTATTTATGTTCTTCTATTTAGGATTTTTCGCCTCTGTGTGCCGTAATCGATTTAACTATCTACGTTAATCGATTAAATTTATCTGGTGCATATCCTCAGCTTACTCCAACAGTTCTTTTTTTCTCAGCCTATTTAATCGCTCATTCTCCTTTATTTTAAGACACAACTCTTGCACTCCAATATCATCATTGAGCTATATTCATTTCTTGCTTCCATCTTCCTCATCAAATATATTATTTTGAGAGTTAGAAATATTTTATTGAGTGCTAAAGATTTTGTCATCCATAGAGCTTTAATTCTTCAACACTACTTTGCTCAATTGTGTGAGCTTTCATTCTTGTGTTGTTAAACTCAATCTCATTTGAGTGTTGTTCTAAAGACTTGTGTGACTCAAGTCTTGTTGTTGTAAGAAAGTGAGGCTTGTGTGATTCAAGTTCTCAAGTTGTACCGGTTTTTCAAGCACCCGTTGAAGCTTGAAGATTAGTAGGACTTTCGAGAGTCTCTCGGAGGACTGGACTAGCCACGAGGTGGTGAACCAGTATAAATCTCGGTGTTCTTCTTTCCCTTACTTTCTTTATTT